TTGCCAGATGTCAAGAGTTTAAAACCCTGTTTTCATAAATTAATAAATTTTTTGAATGTTGGCTTACTTATTGTTCCCAACCTGGCAACCATGCACACACACTCTCCACATTATGGAAAAAGCACTCATGAGCTGAAAATACCTGTAAAACATGTAAGCTGGAATATAAAGTAAACGTGTAATACAGGCAGTATGTTTTCTTTCATGCAGTTGTTTACTAAATCTGCAGGCAAACCATGCGAGTTGACCTTCTCTTAATTTGTGCAAATGTGAAATTGCAATAATTCTGATTAAATGTTAAAAAATTGTTAAGATTTTTAACCATTTTCATGCAGCTCTAGATTATCATCAGCTTTAAACATGAACTTTGCATGTGTATGTTAGTATGCATCGGTGTCTGTTCTTATATAGGTGGTGAACTACAGCGAGTCCCGAACGGCGGAGGAAATCTGCGAGAGTGCCTCAAAAATGATCACCTTCATAGACCTGGCAGGCCACCACAAGTACCTCAAGACCACCATCTTTGGCTTAACCAGCTACTGTCCAGACTTTGCCATGCTCGTGGTCAGCGCCAACACCGGCATCGGTAAGCATTTACTGTCACGTCCAGGGCTCCAGACTAATATTTGAGAGCAGTGGCACCAGCGCCTCTAAGTTGTACAGATGGTGGCGCCAGGAGCAGATTTGGTAGCGGTGGGGGGGGTGTGCGGGAGTATTAAAATATAGATCATTTAATCATAAAATTACTATTGTTTTGCATTAATAATTGCAGTTACTAATAATATTACATGTTCATGTCTTGTTTATTTTTCTTTTGTTTATGGTTTATACAGATTTGACAGTAGAGCACTAAGCTTGAGTTAAAGGGGTAGTTCACCCAAAAATGAAAATGTGATGTTTATCTGCTTACCCCCAGGGCATCCAAGATGTAGGTGACTTTGTTTCTTCAGTAGAACACAAACAAATATTTTTAACTCAAACGCCTCCATCTGTCCTGCAGTGAGCGCTAATGTTCAGCTTCTACACAGACACTTGAACAGCACACATTTCTCTAGGTTAACATTAGTTTGAGCGGCCATGTAAAGTTGCTGCTACTAACATATTTCAGATGATAAGCCGTATTTGTGGTGGATGAATGATAGGCGAGTCTTTAAATGTGCTGCTGGATGTACTGTATTACCATAGACCAGCCGTTAACGGTCTGCGTGACTTCGCCAATGTGGATTTTTTTTTTTTTCTGCAACTAATACAATCCGTAAACAGAGATTTAGTGTCGCACAACTGACTAAAATTGAATGATGCCAGGGCTGTAATGTGGTTGGTTATTAAGGCACACGTGATCCAAGTTAGCCGTTATGCTTTCTCCAATAGTAAGTAATACCCTAGTGCCCTTCTGCGTCATCATCACGTGCCCACACATCATGCAAAGAATCTGCGCAAACGGATCATGGGGGCCCAAAGTGTCCATCAGTTGTACCCTTCGAAATCCTTCATTCCGAAGGGCCCTTTGAAGTGGCCAGTTTTGAGCACTTCGGTTTGGAACGACCCTTCAATATGGCGGACATGATTGTTTTCACTCCGAAGTGCCCTTCAGATGGCGATATATCCCTTTTGGAATGCACCAAATCTCTGCCAATGCTCTCTAGTTTTTGCGGTGGGATTTGTGGGATTTTTCAGGGAGCGAACGTTCCAGTGCACTGAAAGGATTTGGTGATTGAGACAGCCTTTAAAATGGCCTGATCCCTGATCAGTGCCCTGACTACTGGACAAGGGTGCTGATTGAAACGCACCCGGAGATCACAGATCGCACATAAACTTGTTGTCAATGCTTCCCCGCGATTTTATTAATAAAATAGCCTAGATACTAGATCGCTACATTATATCCCTCAGCAACGAGGTGTAAAATTGCTGTTTTTGAAGTAGCCTAATTAATTGTTTGTAGAGAGAGACGCGCAGATGCAGCATGCAGGTAATGCACACACAACTGTCATCTCTCTCTTTTTCTATCTCTCTCTCTCTCGATCAATCAATAATTAATTGAAATAAATGCTCTCATTTATTCAAATAAATGTGATCTTACCGTACTATTTCATCTCTGTCTGATTTGAAGCGGGCAGAATACTAGAGCTAACGTGCTGTAACTGACGAAAATAACTGTCATTTTTACCCATTCGGTCAAATATTGTGCTGCAAAGAGCAATACTAGTTTTAACTTGTCTATAACTTGGCAAATGACCATGGAATAAGTGGGATAATCAAAGGATTGCTGTGCATTAAAGGATTTTTAATGCACTTTGCGTCTGGGCGGTTCTTTGCCTCCATGACATGCATTTAAAATCCTTTTAATTCACAGCAACCCGTTGATTATCCCTTACTTAAAGGAACATTTCACCTAAAAATGTACTCACCCTCAGGCCATTTGAGATTAGGATGAGCTTGTTTCTTCATCAGATTTGGAGAAATGTGTCATTGCATCAGTGTCTCAGCGATGGATGCTCTGCAGTGAATGGGTGCCGTCAGAATGAGAGTCCAAACAGCTGATAAAAGCATCACAATAATCCACACCACTCCAGTCCATCAGTTAATGTCTTGTGAGGACAAAAGCTGTGTTTGGAACAAATCCATCACCTGAAATCTGTTAACTCTTGTGTTAAATCTCAAATATCTTCAGTTCAACTGCGATTGAGTCACATTTTATGTGCAGTGTGGACAGAAACTTGGTGTAAAGCATTTCTCCTGCTGCCATTAACTGTATAATAACTATAATCAGCAGATCAATTCGTTTTTTATGAGTGATAGTTTGCAAATTTCTTGCTAGGTTTTGTACAGGAGGTGTGCCTCCTGGTCCTGGAGCATATGCTGACATACCACTATGTTGTTTTGGTTTGGGAAGTAGCGTGTCAGAAATAGGAGCAGATATTTGGGCGAGCGGGTCACGCATGTCTTTGAAGGAGAACACGATGCTCTGTCTGCAACGCAACACCAGCACGCTTAAATTATGCAAGAGCAGACGGAGGCGGCAGTGTACAGTGTCTGCTGCGCCTCTCTGAGTTTGACTTTCCATACGCAAATCCATGCAAACACAGGCATGTCCAGTTCTCCAATCATTAACCTCAGAAGACAGCTGGACTTTGGACAGATTTTACTGCTCTGCCACACATGCAGCTGGACGTGACCCGCTGTTATTTCCATGCTCTGGACTGTGTGAATCAGCTGGGAGTTTGAGGAAGGCATGTCAGTGACGCTCTACGCCTTTGGCTGTCAGATGACCTGCTAAAGCTTATTACACGCCTACATAAATCACATTCTGATAAGGGTTTCGCCGGCTGCAACCACCAGCTGGAAGAAGCACCAGCAAACATAAACGCTCCCTCACTAACTTTGAGCCCCATCACAAACTAACACCGCTGATTGAGCTGATGCTGTCGTGTCCAGTCAGGCTGATCAAACAAACATCCTCTGTTTGGAACCAAACACTATGGACTGTAGCGAATCAGCTCATGGGGAAATATGAATAATTAACCATAACTATGAGTGTGTCGCTGTTCATATTTTAGATCCACTGTAGATATTTAGCTGACCACTCAGGGTCAACTGTCTTGTCAATTCTAAGACGTTAATTTCCTGGTTAAGGGAAATAACTTTCTTACTGTACAATTCTATAAGCTTGTAACGTAAATCTGCATGATTATTGACTCCGGTTATGAGTAAACAATGAACACGTCAAGTGTGATACAAGTAAGGTTTTATTAACTACATAAACACTTAAACTAGTCTAACATACTACATAAACACATTAAGCCGGTCCAACATACACATACGCACACACACACACACACACATACGAATGGAAAGGACTATGCCGAAGAAAGGCCTGGCACAGATGCTTTGGTATCCTGCAGCGTTTTTCTCACATCTTCTTAGCTTATGACCGAACCACCGACTGGGGCGGTCACATGGTGTGTCAGCTTTAAAGTCAGAGAAGATCCCCGCCTCTCAAGATGGGCTTATCCAATGAGAAAAGCCGGAATCCCAAGTGGGCGTTTTGAGATCCTGTGGAGTTTATGACTCTTTGTGTGGAAACATGGTACTTTAGTATCTGGAACTTGAATTGAAAATACTAAAGGTTCTCAGGGCACTAATATATTGCCTACGTACCAACAAATAATATACATTCTTGTTTAGATCATCAGAAGGCGAATTCATAGATACTAGACATGAAATAGGTGAGGTTATATTAACTAGTGGTCTATGATAACATGAATAAAACAGCATACACTACAACAGACAATATACAAGACAGTAATGGTATACACAATGACCAAAGGATATGGGTATTCAATCAAAGAAAGGTTTTCCTATGAATTAATTAGAGAACAGTCCATTTCTCTGGGCATTGTGTGTCTTTCTTATGAGGAAAATGAGGGAGTTTATCCCCTGCATTCCTTTTAGGCCATAAAACCAGTGATATCATGATTAGTTGTCATAGTGACCAAGGTGGGGGATGGTGTTCAGCCGAAATCCTGGCATCCAGTATATTGAGTGAGGGGACTGTGACGACTTGTTAATCTAATGAATAATTGATTTGTTAAATCAAATAAAAATTAGTGTGTCAGATTGGTCGAGACGCTACAGACGTAATCCATATCTATGAAGCTATTATCTCAGATATGAGTGTTTCACTTTCACTTGAGTGTGTCGCTGGGATTCCTGGCTCAGTGAAGTATGATTAATTGCACTCAGATGTTTTGTCTTTGTAAAGGTGTAAATTCCAAAACGGAACTCCGTGACTCTAAATGGAATTAGAATGTTGGTTGCATTTGATTTTACAGTACATGCACTTACAGTATACTTAAAGTACTGAGTAATAGAAGGCATCTAGGAGTAGGTTCAGGGTAATACATAGATATAACCTAGTAAGGTAATCGCAATAGTAAGTAGTCAAGTCTCCTTTATTTCTATGGCTCTTAATACAATACAGATTGTTTCAAAGCAGCTTCACCGTAAACTTCTAAAATGAGGCGGATACAAAGCAGCAGCTGTAGCGAGATAGTAGTGTTGTTATTAACTCGAGTCAGTGGATTCAGTTCGGTTCATTAAACTGAACATAGTACATGGTATGTACATGCAAAACAGGACTGTAAAATAAAGCACTGCCAAAATATTAACAATAATTAGCGCTGTCAAACGATTAATCGCATCCAAAAGAAAAGTTTTTGTTTACATAATGTGTGTGTACTGTGTATATTTATTATGTATATATATAAATACAAACACATGCATGTATATATTTAAGAAAAATATGCTGTTTATATATTAAATATCGTATGTACATGTAAATATTTTCAATATATTTCCAGATTGGTTAAAAAAGCGCTTGATCGGCCCCTGAGACATCCCTAGTTTATTCTGTTTACGTACTTTTCTACTTTTCAGGGTCTGGGAAATATGTAATTAATCAAACCACAGTAAAAAAAAAAAAAACTGGCTTGGAAAAAGATAATGGTGATCCACAGAGGTTCTTACAGGAAACTCCACAGAATTTAGCCGTCATTAATGCTTGGACTTTAAAACTAGGCATTGTGTACTTGCCGAGTTTGTAAACCGTTATCATATACTAATAGATTGAGGATCACACCGAACACAACAAACTTGCACAGAAAGAGACACACAACTGAAAACAATGTTATAAAATTGCCTCAAAATATCAAATATTGTCTGATTTTCTCTGACTGCATGGAATCATATTCTAAAGCAACAACAACGAAAGAAGAGTCTGTGGTTTTCTCTGCAGACTGGCTCTGACATTCAGAAACTAGTATCTGCTCATCCATCTGCAAATCAGGGAAAAATCTGTGCAACACTGTATTCCAGCCGTACAGAATTAGCCATCACAGACGTTTCCAGTGGACTACACTGTTCAGTTTGTGGATATCTAGCTTACTTGCTATTAATGTCTCAAACAAAACTGAATATCTTTAAAGAACTGATGCCACAAACCTGGTAAAAAGTGTACATTTTGATCCCTGGAAGTAAATTTTCACTGGTTCTTTTTAAGTTTTTTTGTGTGTGTCCAGTGTGTTTCAGACAGTCAGTAGGTGTGCACCATCTGAGGTTGAGATTGAAGTATCTAAACATGCAATACTGACCAGATCAGAGTTTACAACTGAAAACATGCATTTGGACGTTTTTTGTTCTCTTTGTTCTGCCCCATTTCTCCATGTAAGATGCGTCCTCTCTCTCTTCTCTCAGCGGGGACGACTCGAGAGCACCTGGGTCTGGCCATGGCGCTGAAGGTGCCCATCTTCATTGTGGTGAGTAAGGTGGACCTGTGCGCCAAAGGCACCGTGGAGCGCACCGTCCGACAGCTCGAGCGCATCCTCAAGCAACCGGGCTGCAACAAAGTGCCCATGCTGGTGTCCTCCACAGACGACGCCGTCACTGCCGCCCAGAAGTTTGCACAGTCACCCAGGTACAGAGTGAAACGGAAGACACAGCCGTGATGTTTTCATGATTTGGCTCTAAAGCGCTTCATCAGAATCTGTTGTCTTCCTTGCTCTCCTGCAGCA